ATGCTGGTATTATTGGGACCCACTGAGGTCATTTCTGCTGTCGAATTATATGTTTAAATTATAATTTCATACTCAGTCATATTCATTCATTGCATATCATATCTTAGTCTCTGTTGTTATTTATTGATACATCATATCATCATTTTGGGCTAGTTACATGACATTGTGAACCCGAGAGACTGGAGAGATTGATGACTGAGTGAGGCCGAGGGCCAGATTGTGAGTGATATTTATGGGATTGGGTTGCACGCCGCAGCATGTTTTTATTTATTTATGCCTGGACCCGGCTTATTATAGCGCTTGGGTTGAAGGAGCCCCTCCGGAGTCTGCACACCCACAGCGAGCACAGTGAATATTATAGTTGGGATGGAGTTCCTTGGGCATGGAGTTGCCCTATATATTCACATTTGGGATGGAGTTCCCTGGACATGGAGTTTCCCTATATATTCACATTTGGGATGGAGTTGCCCTATACATTTATATTGAGGGATGGATCTTCCCTAGGCTAGACTTGCCCCGTACAGTACTGAGTGATTGAGTACTCTGAGAGTGTGAGTACATGAGTTCATCATTGAGATGCATTGCATTCGGCATGCATACTTGAGATACAAGCATAGAGATGCATTTCTTCATGTTACCCGGTTTTGGTGACATTCATGATTTCACATGTATATTGATATATAGGCATAGAGATGTATATTCCTCATGCTATCTGAAAAATGAAACATCCTGTTGTTGAAAGGTTTTTGGGAAAATTACAGTTGTTCAAACTTATTTATATATTTTTGAGGTTTTCGGTGAAAGATCTGGGATCTACTGTCATACTTCAAAAGCATGCCTATTTTTCGTAACTGTGAACCAGTTGAGTTATTTCTTGTACCATCTTTATCATATTGTTATGAACTGTTACTGGTTAATGGAGTTGGGTTCTAACCCTTGTCTCAGCTCGTCACTACTTTCAACCTTAGGTTAGGTTTGTTACTTATTGAGTGCATGGGGTCAGTTGTACTCATACTACACTTCTGCACCTTGCGTGCAGATTTTGGGATGCTGATATTGCTCCGTATGGCGGGAGCTGGCATTGAGGATGTACCTGCGATCCGGTCACAACTGCCTCTTGTTCTTGGTAGTTCTAGAATTATTAATCTGTTCATATATATTTCAAGCAGATGATGTATTTTTATTTCACACCAGCTATGTAAATTCTGAATCTTAGAAGTGAGATTTGTACTACCAGTCCTTGGGAAAACTCATTAAATTGAATAGTTGTTAATTGGCTTACCTGACAGGTCGGGTTAGGTACCATCACGACTAGTTGGATTTTGGGTTGTGACAATAATCATACTATATTATAAGTAGGAAGACAAAAGTTAAAAGACTAAAATAACTATAAAAGAATGTATGACTATTTCGCCCTTCAGGCAAGCATTATTTCAAGAACATTTGGGTGCAAAGACATAATTAAAACATTCTACAAAGAATACAAAAAAAAAAAAGTTAATGAACATAACAAAAAAGAAACGTAAACTCAGAGAAAGAGAAATGCAAGAGCCATTCACACATGGCCATTAAGATGAAACCTGTTCAAATGACTATGTTTCAACAATGCATTAGTAAGGCCTTTGGCTTTCTTAAGAAAAATGTGTCAAAGCTCAAGACTAAAACCATTGAAGTCACTTTTTGTTTGCTTTATCAGATAGATATGTAATGAACGGACTTTAATATTCATTATTACGTCATGAAGTCTTCATGCATGCCTTTTCACATCTCATTATCAACCTCCTTTATAGTAATGGATATAGACCTTTTTCTAATTTAAAGAGCTATCCTTTGTTGTGTTCCATTTTGCACCATTTTCCTCAGTCTTTAGGCTTTCATTCCATTAGAAAGTTTACTTTTTCCAATTCCAGATTTTCTCATAATCGGGATACAAGGTCAATGGAAGAAATAATGGTAAATATTATATCGGAACTTTTCAGAAAAAGCAGTAAAGGAATAACATTGAAGTTGCAATTTTAACAGGTAAGTTCTTTTTTTTTTTCTTTTTTTACTTCATATGAGTATTCACCAAATTGTATTGTTTATGTAAGTTTTGGTTAAGTAACACTCCCTATACTTTTTTGATATGAAATAGTAATTTTTTTTTTTTTTCTTCAGTAATCACCAATCGGCGAATCGATGTTTATTATCCAGAAGTTATTTGGTAAACTTTTGGTTTGAGGCAATTCAACAGCATTCTGAAATGTATATTGTTCAGAAGGCCACAAAGTAGCCACATTCTCCAATACCTAAATAGAAATATTTGCATCATATCATCCACTAATAGTTGGCAAATTCAGTTTACGATCGAGCCATGCATATATCTAACTTAGAAGATTGGCCAGTAATATAGAAAAGAATAAATTTAATAAAAAGGAAACTCTCATATTCATAAAATGAAATCTAAAATTTGAGCAGAAACTGATACAACATGTGCAAGGATGACCCAGTTTCAGACTTACAAGATTACACAAAAAAATAATTTAGACAAATAAAATAGAAAGACCAAATTTTCAGTTCATCTCTGTTGCATTGAGTTTTATCATCACCACATTATAACAGTGTAAATACAACTACATATAATGGTAAATCGAAAAATGAATTTTAACCAATTATGAAAATGTAATACTGAATTTGTTGACCGTGTACAAATACAAACTATAATCATGACCGAAGTAGAAGACAACTACTAATGAAATGTTTTTTTCTTCCATATTTCTACGTCATCACCAGAAAATGAAGTATATCCTTTCATCAGTTTGAGTTTGAGCTTTCCTCTTCAATTTTTATGTTATTCATTATCTATACCGTTTTAAAACAGTTGTACGTATTAGTATGAGATACATGTGCAACGGACGTGTCCAGAAACTAGTAATATAAAAAGTAGATGCAATGTTTATATACTAGATTCGCCTCCATCTGAAATCTTTATCTAGGCCCAAATAGTAGTGGGTTTTGTGTCCCTCAGGGCTCTCCTCTTCTTTTCCACTTTAGTCGAGATCATGAACTATAGATAGAAACAGATTTAAGTTTTTAAGTTAGTTAAAACTTAGTATAAATCAACTTTTTCTAACTAAATAGTAAGATTTATAAAGAAGTTGGTAATTCATATTGAGTTATTATTGGTGACTTAATACTTTAATTGTATGGATATGATGGTGTCTCTCTATATTGGTACGAATTGGGAAGTTTATTTGCAGTTTTGACAATTCTGCTTAGTCAACAAGAGACCCGAGGTAGTGCTCTCTCTGTCCAGAAAATTGTTGCTCCACAGGCATTTCCGAATAGATCACAAACCTCGGAGCTTTAGTGCATGGACCAAGGAATTTTATTAAGCTACAAGAAACTATTGAAATTCTAACATAGAAATGGTTGAAATTTTGAAAGTGCCTTCATGCTATAGACTGTATCATTTAGAAAGAAAGGGTTGTGGCACCCAAGGCTATGGACTAGTGCTTGATGGTAGGCTATAATTGCGTATTTTAATTACTTATTGCACTCTAATTCACTACATTTTATTCATGTTTGAGCTTTAATTGATAGTGTTTTACACTTATTGTGTGTTTTGTGCCTTGTAAGAGTGATTTCGAGTGATGTAGATGTTATGGAGCTAATTCGAACTATTTGGAGCTTTGAAATCTAAATAAAAGCCCAAGGGATTAAGCCGGGATCATGTTCGGGGATCGAGTACTAAGTATGGACATTAAAAAGCAAGATTCAATCCGTACTCTGAGCAAAATGGCTTGCCGCGGCGCGTGGGGCGCCGCGCTTGTGCAATTTACTATTTTCTATCAGAACTTAGCTCTCTGGATTTCCCCACTAATGCCCTGCATGGCGCGTCGCACCATGCGGTGCGCCTGTATAATTTTTACAGAGTGAAAATCCAATTTCGACTATGAGAAGGTGGTTTCGTCTGGGCCCGACCCTACTTGGTATAAATACATGGGAAAACATTATTTTCTGAACTTTTGTTATACCTTAGACCTAAGGAAGCTAAGGAGGAGTTGGAGGAGCAAAAGCATAAGGATTTCATAATTCCTTCCTCACTCAAGACCCGAGTTTGGATCGAATTTATGTTTTCCTATACTTTTATTATATTTGTGATGAATTGCTCCATATGTATGGAGTAGTTCTCTTTAAGGTTTGATGGATTTGGTATATTGATGATTGTTTGTGAATTATAACTCTAGTTTTATGTATTAAAGTGTTTTTGGACGATTTAATTGTTGCATCTTTATTCACTTGTTCATATAATCGAGAGAGGAATAACTTGTGATATCTTTGCATTATATTGTTGGTCGAGTTCATTAATTCTTCTTAGTAATCGGAAGAGACTAGTTGAATTATTGATTAAACCTAGTTAAGAGAATAATGGGAAGAGGTTTTCCTAAAGACCAATCTACTACGCATTCTTGCATATCTTCACGTGCTTAAATTGGTTCATCTTATGAGGTTAAAACTTAATTGAGAGAGAAGTTTTTGCTGAACGTTTGAACTAATAATTGAGTGAATTCGAGAGACTCACTTAAATATTATAAGTGAATTACCTAGAGTTAGATCCCAAACAATTATCTTGCACTTATCCTATCAATCTCTATCTTCTCCCGTTGATAACCTTCTTTGCTTATTCCTTGATTCGATTGTCATCAGTCAATTGCTTTAGATTCTTGGTTAATTTTAATTAGACATCTTATAAATCTCAAATGTTGATCATCTTGGATAGCAACCAAGCGAATATTGTTTAAATCCAATCCATGTGGATACGATATTATATTATACTATATTTGATTAGCGAGCATAATTTAGGTGTGTGTTTCGAGCTCGTCAGTGCTCAATAAGGTAAAAATACTACTCCATGTGATTTCTTCCTATCTGCCTAAGATTATCAAAAAGTAGAAAAAAAGATTGTCCCCCATCCCGCTGAAGAAAAGAAATAGAAATATGGTAAAGTCAGTCCAAAGTGAAGAAGACAAGAAAGTCATTTTTACTGCAAGAATATGATACAAATGCAAACATAAGACAGTCAGAGATTCAAGTGCATACATAGTCACAAATGTCAAACTTGCAACATGGCAGCATTTAGAAAACTTCAGCTACCTTGGTTGCAAGAATGCGTTCTCGTCTTTCTACATACCCAAATGGGAACCAACCTGCATTCCCCTTGCACTCACCTTCAGCCCAGCCATTGTTTGACACCTTTTCGGGAAACAAAAAAAAACAATGTCAGCTAATACATGGATGGAGAAGGAATAGAATTCAGAAAGGGGAAATCTCAAACAACCAGTGATCACTTTTGCCAAAGAAGATCAGAATACACAACATAAATGACGTTAGTGTAACAAAATTGACATTGCATAAAGTGAAGGACCGGCAAGTAATCCGTTCAGAAGCTCTTATAATGGGATCCTTCAAGAATCTAACAAAAGAATTTACCGAAAATGGGTACTCAATAACTAAGCTAGTGCTAGACAACCATGACTATACATTATTACCGGTTGAAGAAAGCATGGTGGTAATGCTAGTACCCTATTCCAGATGCACCATGGTCACAGAAAGTTAATCAACTTATCAGAATGGATAATGATTTTCTGTCAACCAGATACTCATGCGGAGGGGTCGGCGTGTTGGAGGTTGGGGATATGGGGGGAGTAGGGTATTCGCACGTACTGTGACAACGAAGCATCAGAAAGAAAAATATTACCGATAACATTAGACAGAGAGCTAAGCTTACTTTTCGAACAACTACATAGTCACCAACTGATAATGTGAGCTCTACAGCTGACTCAGCTTCATATGGGTGTACGACCTGCCGTAAGAGACGTATAAACAAATAAAAAGCTAAAATTAAGTAAAAACACAAAGAGAGTCATCCATCATGTTTATTGATTCATAAGAACGCGAGAGAGAGGCAGAGTAACCATCACCTCTGCCAAGAAATAAGTTTTCCCATCTATGGATCCATCATATGACTGAGAAGCAAGTCCACCATTAACTTCAGTATAAGCTGGGGGAGGAGGCATCGGATTATAACTAGGAGATGCTTCAATTCTTTGACGCTCTGACATCATCTATGCACTCAAAGAGCATTCATCAATCCCCAACATTTAAAAGTGACAAACCAGTCAGGAGACTAGATGTAAAACTACTAAGATACCACCAACAATTTTGATAGAGAAAGAGCGCACCTCTGCCTCAAGCTGATCAAGGATTTGCAGAACTCGCTGATGATAATGACGTTGTGCCTCAACCTTAAACAAGAAATCAGTGAAGGGGCTTTTGATGGAGATCTCTGATTGAAAAAGGAAAAACTGATTTACAGTAGTAAAATGAAACAAATATTACCATGGCTACGAGCCGTTGGAGTGTTAACCTCTGTTGTTGAGCTTCAACAGCAGTCATGGCAGCAAAAGCTTCTTTTCCCAAAGTAGCCATGTTTGACTTTAGGTCCTTAAGTTTTGCTTCAGCAGCTTCCAGCTTTGATGCACTTTCAGGATTACCATTGGATTCCCTCAATTTAGCCTGCCGTCTGGAAACTTCGATAGCCTGATTTATTCCAAAGAAGGTAGGCATAACTACAGAAATTCAAGATATAATGCAAGTAACTCAGTGATACATGACTAGATATCAATTTATAAACGATAAGTGGCAATAGTTTAGTCAATCAGTCAAATAATGAACGACGCCTCAGTTTCAAATATTAGCTACAGTTTAGTAATAAAAAATATTAGCATACTGACTGGAATGATTAACGTGGAAAGACAACAATACGTGGATAGAGAGGGAATACTTCAAGTGAACACACTTCTCTTCTTTAAAGTTTACCTGAGCTTCAGCTTCCTGCCTAACTCTATCATAACGCTGAGCAAGTTGTCGAGCATCCTCCAGTGGAGCTCCCACAACCATTGCTCTTAAAGGCTCAGCGACCTGAAGTTTGAAACTTAATAAAGAATTGAAGACAATTTCCATACTTAGATTACTATTTCATGAATGAATTAATTACAAAGAAAGATCTAAATCATCTGATTAGAAAGCTCTTTGTGGCACTGCTCGTTTGGTAACAACTAACAAGGGAAATCTAGCGCTTATATATACACAAAGTCCAGAACATCTGGAAGATGAAATGCAGGTTACAAATAAACAGCTATGGTGTTATTGTGACAATGAAAACTACTAATAATGGGACATTCATTATATCAAGCAAAATAGAAAAGGATGAAAGGAAATAAATAATTGTCTATAAAAAGTCACAACATATATCTCATCAATCTTAAACTAGGCTAACTTAATAAAAATTACCAAGATAATGTTTTGACCTTTAGATTTGAGTTGTAGACATTGTAAGCTAATTTAGCTAAGTTTGGTTGGTTATTTGTAAGACTGCTCTCCTGCACTTTTCCAGGCACAGGTAGCTGAACATAAACAGTTTGCTCACGTGTACTCTCCAGCCTCATTTCATTGTAAAAGTAACAATATTAATTTTTACATGAGCTGCATTTGAAAGGTTTGGAGATCAGGAACTCATGATTGCAGATTAACTGAATTCTCTGTCGTATACGACAATACTCTAGCATTCACTATCTAGCAGTACTTCTAAGACAAATAAAGCAAAAAGGAAAACACAGAAGATATAGTACCTAGATATGATCAACTTATCCAAATATCATTGACTCAAAAATTTCGTAAAGATACCTTTAAATCACAGTCCATCACTATATAGATTTCACTTTTTTCTATCTTATTTTTTTCCTAGTGCAGCCTGAATCAGCACCTCTCATTCCTTTGCACGGAAAACAAAATTTGATGGAACACAACATGATAATGAAGAAGGGCTTTCAATAGATCCAAACCTGTGTCCCAAGGGCTTTCAATAGATCCAAACCTGTGTCCCAAGGGCTTTCAATAGATCCTCACGTTCCTTCTCAATTTCAGCTTGAGCCCTACTATAACTTAATGCTGCTTTAGATAACGTATTGCCACTTGTACATGTGTTTTCAGCCCCATATTTTCGGCTATCTTCTGCCAACCTAGTACCTAAAAAAAGAATGTATGTAGGACCTTAGTGAAAAAATAAGCCTTAGAGATTACGTATCTACATAAGAAGAAATTTCAGTGACTGACCAATTTCAATTTGCTTTGAGCCACTGATGATGTAGCCTTCAACACCTCGGACAATATCTCTTTGGAAGTGCTAGTGATAGAACAGGATACAAAGGATAAAGAAAAAAAAGAATCCAAAAAAGACATTCTAAAATGGGGGAGTTTTGTCAAACCTTGCCAGCACGAGTAGAAATGTACAGCTTCTCAAGTTTTTGATGCTGTTGCAACTCTACTTCATCAGTAACACTATTATCTTGGCCACCTAGTCCACTAGCAAATTGTTTGAAGACAGCCTAAGCATAAAAATAGCAAAGAATCAACAAAGGCGCATTGTTTACATGCACCGGCTTGAGGGGAGTGTTAGAGAGTTAGTATGTATAGTAATATGTATAGTGTTCCACATTGATAGAGAAGGGTTTAGTACTACGTAAATACCCCATATAAATAGGGCTAATTAAGACACAAATGAACACAAGAGGAATTCTTTCTTCCCATGTCTTAAACTCTGACATATTCAATGTACGGTTACAATAGAGCAAGGATTTACGAAGGTGCTCACCTACATCTAAACTGATGCTATTCGATATTGTTGTCAAGGACCTTCTCCTTCCGGTCAGAGGCGGATCCATGATTTAAGCTTTAAGGGTTCAACCTTTAAGGTTCTTAGAATTAAACTCATTGTATTTTTAAGGTTATAGGTTTACACATGAATTTATGCTCTGCGTCAAAAGTATTGGGTTGAGATGAACCGGGTACTAACACGTTGCATCCGCCTCTGCTTCCAATGGATGTTGTTGGTGTTAATCACCGAGTTACAAAGTTCAAAGATGAATCAGATTCCATTCTCGTGTCTCAAAGCTTGAGACCAGCTACGATGGATTCAAAGCTAAACTATGAGCATCAACTCTTCCTTACCGGAAAGAGAAGGTCCTCAACTGCCACATCCTCTTCCTTCCGTTACCATAAATTAGGCAACTTACTTCAGCACTTGCTATCAAAGATAAAGACAGATTAATAGAACCACATTTTTTTCGTTACATTTATAAATCTAGAATCCACTACTAAGTCCATCTTTGGGAATCAAATGCACTAGATGATTCACTCTTACCCTTCTTGTGTCAACCCATGATCCTAACTAAAGCTCCATCTTAAATCCCACAAAGAAAAAGAGAAAAAGAAGGGATCTTTGTTCCAAAATAAACGAATTTAGAAGAAAACGAATCCGACGAACAAAAGTGAAGAGCTAAAACTAACTATTCTTCCTAGTCACAAAAGAAAAAAAAAGAGCAGCTTGAAGAACATACTCCTCTGTCCCAAATTCTTTGGCACTGTTACTATTTGAGGTCAAACTGTTTTCTCTTTTAATGTTCAAACTTAAATATATATTATTCTTAACTACATAAAATTTGTGATTTACAATAGCTCTATGTAGTTTCTGAATATGTCATTTTATTCTTAAAAGGATTAAAGCTTTACACAGAAGAGTCTGCCCCAGACCATGTCATTTATTATTTTCTTTTTTTTCAGAAAAGAAAAAGGAAAAAAAAACAAGAGAAAGAGTTAAGAGTACAGTTAGGGTTCATTTCTTCACCTATATATAGATATGGAAGAACTGGCATATATATATATATATATATATACACAAAGATAGAAAGAGGGAAATTACCTGTTGTTGTTTGGCAACTTGTTCTCTGAGCTTAGTAGCTTGTTTTTTGATTGCTTCCATTTCTTTCACACCACCACAGTCCACAGCAGTCAGCAGAGAGAGAGAGAGAGAGAGAGTGGTGAAAAGAAGAGGGAGAGTTGTCTCAACTTTCTGTTTCAAAAAATGTGTCGGACGGAACTCTGCTAAGCTCGATTCTTGTTACTTTTGTTTGAAACTTGTTGGACTCCGTACTTGCCTCTGTTTGACTTGGCACTTTTTCGCCCGTTATCTCACTTGTCCTTTATTAATTTTCTCCAGGTAACTTCTTTTTGGCCTTTTTGACCTAACTAATTTCGGGTTGTTTAGACAATGTATATGTTAGAAAATCAGAGGTTGTGGAAAAAAAACATACTTGAAATTTGCATATTCATAGTTTTTTGAAGAAAAAAAAATTGACTTATTAGCGGAGGAAAAAAGTGTTTTTTTTTCTCTTTTTAAAGTTAAGATATTTTGTCAAGCTTTTAAAATAAAAAAAATATTTTTGAGTAAAAGTAGAAATAGTTTTTGAGATACAGAAAAAAGTAGTTTCTCCTCAAAATATTTTTTAAAAAAGTACTTTTGAGAAAAATACGCTTAAAATTACTTTTTAAAAGTACTTCTCAAATTGATAAACTAAACACAAACTGTTTCTTGCCAAAAATATTTTTTTAAAAAATATTTTTGAGAAAAGCACTTTCTAAAATATGATGATTTTAGAAACTTGGCCAAACAAACTATTAGTCTTTTACAATGTTCTTGCAAGAAAAATATTGTACAAGATATCATTTAGGGATGGCAATGGGGCGAGGCGAGTCGAATTTTGTCTTATACGGGCGAGGCAGGTTTGATCTTATGCAGGTGCGGTACTGGCTGTGGGTTTCCTCCCTTCACTTTTAAAGCTGACTCTGTTGGGATGAAAAATTGCTCGAGTCTGCTGATGAGATTGAATCTGAACATATCTGGATTTTATCTAGTCTAGGAAGAAAAATTCGATCCGGAGGTAACCTCAGATTTCAATGCTAATTAGGATACGCTTCAAACATTTTCATTCAAAATAATCTGTCAGAAAGCCATTAAAATTCATTATTTGCCAGTAATGTTTAGAATCGTGATTCCCACTTAAATATTCCCATCTTTGTGAATAAGTTTAATATTTATCAAGTTGGTGAGTTTAGAAGGATTGAATTGAATTTTTTTCTTTTAAGTATAGCTTTCTCAGGAACTGATTTCTTTCTTTCTCTGAAATTATATATTGAGAGACTGCATTAAACGTAAAATTAATTAGAATCACTTAAAACTTAAGAAAAGAATAATAATGAAAACTTCTATGCGTTTTTCTTTCTAAATACTAATAGAGTGAAAATAAATTTGGTTTCGATATATGATCACTATGTCCCCTTCTACATTGCTTATGTAATCGAAAAGAAGCAAGAAACAGAGATACTGAAACATTTTTAAGATGATATAGAGCCCGTTTGGACATAAGAAATTTTATTTTTTTTCAATTTTTTTTTAAAACAATGTTTGGTTATCAAAATCTTACAATTTTTTCAATCTCACTTGAAAATGGGAAGGTTGCTAGTGTTTAGTTGCAAAATATGTTGAAAAAAAGACATCCAAATATGTTGCAAAAATTCTAACCAAACACAACTTCATCTTCACTTCAAATTTTAGTGAAATTCCAAATTTGATAAAAAAAAAATGAAATTCATGTCCAAAGGCATACATAGTATATGTGTTTGTGTATACAAAAGAAAAAAGTTAAGAAGAAAATAGTTATTGTAATATCAAAGACTTTTTGTTAAGTAACTTTTATTTTATATGTACAAGATATAATTTTCGTAAGTATCTTATCTTCTTCTTTCATTAGCGGAAGTCTCTCATAATCTTTAAGATTAATAAAAAGTATGAGTATATATGTAGAAGTGTAAAAAGTTTCAGCCAAAAGATTAAAATAATAAAACTAACAAAAATTTTTAAAAAATAACACCTAAGTGGGGCGGGGCAGGTAAAAGCGGGTGTTGATACAGGACGGATTAAAATTTTGCGGGTTAAAATAAAATTCCCAGCACGCGTACCACCCGCACCGCTTGCCATCAGCTCTATCTGATCAGGACTACTCTGCTTTTACTATCTTTTTAATGGTGAAACGAAGCACATAAAAACAAAAGAGAACTTATTATATGTCTAGGTTTTGAAAAGGTTAACACAAAATGAGAACCGAAAGAAGAGCCCTCTCTAAAAAAACGTCGTTTAAAGATTGTATTATTAAACCACACTAGGTAACAAACACATGTATGTTATATATTCAGTAGGGTGTGTAAAGAAAACCGATAGACCTGTAACACTCTGTAAATTCAAATTAGGTGTGAATATCTTAAATGAGTATTAATATAACATTTTAGACATGTGATGTCATATCGGGATGAGTATGGGTGAAAATAGTTATTTTGGAATCAAGACGGAGAGTGAGGTGCATAAGATTCGATAAAATTGACTAAGTTTATGGACGGTCTATCTTCCGGCTAGATTTTAATACATATCCGTTAGAAATTTGGGAAAATATAAAACATTAAAGTTGTAGCCCATTAAAATAGTTTTCCGATGATATATTGTGGAGCCCTAATGGATCTCTGTGCAAAAGGTTATGCACGTTTTACTAGAGAATGCACAGTCTACGTGCTCAGGTGCGCACCCAGCTGTCCCGTGCGCGGCAGCGCACTTGTGGAAGTGCCACTGCCCTTGATGCGCATCCAGATGCGCGGTTGGGCCTTCAGCTGCGTGGAAGCGCACCCAGGAAATCTTTTTAAAAGCCTTACCTCGTCCCCCACAACCCAAAATACAAAAACTTGCTCTAGAAAGGGAAGCTCTCAAGAACTTAACTCCCTTTAAGGTCCCTCCATCATCCAAGGTAAGTTTTAATGATGATTCTAAGTTAATTTTAATTTTCTAATACCTTATTAACATGGGTAAATCCTCCAAATTATTAGATAATCGATTGGCACATCATTATTGAGAAAAGAAACTCTGGAACTCGAATTCAAGAAGATTGAACATCAAAAAGGTAATATCTTCACCCTCTAATTGATTATAGCATCAGATTAATGATTATACACTCTAAGTTCATGAGATATGAGTTGATGGGTTTGATAGAAAAGCATGAACGATTATATATTTTGGTTGTTGGTTGTTGATTATTGATTAAGGGTGTTGTTTTATCTTATGAGTGATGAAGAATGATATTGATTATAGCAATTTGAGATTTTAGAATTATCTAGGAACCAGAGAATGGGTTGTTGGGTATAAAAATACCATTAATAAGGGTTATGAAGCTTTATGCCCACCAAGTAGTTTATAAAATGTCTAAGTGACAAAAACATAAGGATAAGTGCAAATATTAGTTCCTCTTGATATATATTGCCATAGATTATCGTTAAAAGAGGTGACGAACATTGTGATATACTTAAAAAGGCCAGATTCAAAGTATGTGAGGCTAACTCTCTATGTTTGGGAATGTTAATAATTTTTTCTACGCTACATTTCTTTTACGACGTTACTAATTGCCTCAGAAATATAGTTAATCCTAGTTCCTTGAATAGTTGTAGAAATTCTATTCTCTAGCTTCATAATTCGTTCATGACTTTCATTCTGAACATTGTGAGCTCAGTGCATAATCAACATAGGGTTGGGTTTGATGCCCATGAGTGTCAGTCTAGATTACTCAGCATGTCATAAGCAGTTAAAGTTTTAGTTTTCATAATCAGTTCATGAATACATGTCTCAGTCTAGTCCTATTCAGCATTCCAGTATCGTATACATGTCTCAGTCTAGTCCTATTCAGCATTCCAGTATCGTGTAACTCAATATGATTCAGTATTTCAGTATTATGTATTATAGTATGATTCTCAGTTCCTGATTTTAAATCCTTAAATGTTGAACACCTGTATTTGGGCCTGAGGCCGCAATTTATGCTTTATGCATCTTTGGGTCTGAGGCCCAAGTTTATGCTTTACGCATCTTTGGGCCTAAGGCCGCAGTTATGTATACGTATACTTGGGCCGAGGCCGTAGTTTGTGCACATGTATATTGGGCCCGAGGCCGTAAATTATTTATTCAGATAAACATGTGGTTCATCATTCAGAAGAGGGAGTATTCATATCCTTTCTTCCTTGTTCAGTTATCAATTATCATTTCAATTATCAAATATTAGTTATCATCTCAGTTATCAGTTCAGTTCTCAGTTATCAGTTCAGTTTCAGTATTTATAGTTCTTTCTTTCGGTTGTTTTACATACCAGTGTAATTCAAATGTACTGGCATCCCTTTTGCCCGGGGCTTGCATCTTGCGACGCAGGTAACGATTACAAGTTGACGATTCAGAACGCTAGGATTCTCGTACCAGCTATTTGGTGATCCCTAGTTCTTTCGGGGCATCACCATTACTTTACAGTCTTTCAGTATTTACAGACAGTCGGTATTTTCAGTAGTTCATTAGAGGCTTCATAGACTAGAGTAACAGTTAGACAGAGTCACATGCTTTTCATGTTAAGCAATGTTGACTACAAATATGTTTTAGACTTATATTAGTGTTTTCGCACTTTGATTTATATCATTCAGACTTTCAGTATATCAGCATGTGTTAGCTTATATTCTGCATTCAATATGTTATGATATCACATATTGATTCAGTCAGCCAGTTGGTTCACTCGGTCGTATGTAGTCAGGCACCAGTTGTCGTGTTACATCCAGGCCCAGGTTCGGGGCGTGTCAAGACCGTACCAAACCGATAATCCGAGTCAAACCAGAAAAAAATCTGATTGTGGTTTGGTTTGATCTGATTTGGTATTGGAAAAATAAACCTGACCATAACTGATTTGGTTTGGGTTGTTTTAACTAAAATTAGTCAAACCGAAACCAAACCAACCCGATAGTATATTTATATAATTTTTAAAAATATTTTATACATATAAATATTTAATATAATGTAATTTATAAATATTTCTTAATTTATTTTTACAGTTTTATCTTTTAACATATTATTTCAAGTTTAGACTTTAATATTTTTGAATGGTAAATAAATTTTATAGCCCATAAATATAGTAACTCAAACAAAGTTTAAATCAATATTAATGCTAACAAAAGAAATTCAATTCAATACTAGGAATGGTGATAGTGTTGGATATCTATTTTTTAGTTTTACATTGGTTTATA